TCTTGGTATGCTCATAGTCGTAGAAGAACCTACATACTACATCACATTAAATTTGGCAAAAACAATACTTTGCAAAACTTCACGAGAGCTAAAGCGCTTGGCAGATCTCATACAGCTCGCGAACTCACCCAGAGATCCGTGCCCCAGTCCATGTTTAACGTCTTTTTATCAGCGGATCCCTGAATACAAAGAACTTCTTCAAAGTTATCGCAATTTGGAGGACGCCTCAATCCCGACAATATTAATTCCGAGGACGTTCAAACACCCCTTCTGGTATGCTTTCCGTTTCTAAACAGTGAGAATCATTTCACCCTATAATTTAGCTAGTTATCGCTAACTAGTCTAGTTAATCTAAACAATATTCGTTGCAAAGGAAAGAGGGATAAACTAGCTTTCATATCCGCGTCACTCCCAAATCCTAATTCTTAAAGGGACCGTTCACTAATGTATTTGCCTTCATTAAAATGTTCACTGGCGACAGACTGGCAGTGGCATATCAAAAGCAGTGATGCTTGTTTATTTATGAGAATCCACAAGTCACTTTTAAAAACAGTTTTGAAAATAGTTTTATAAAGAAAAATGAATGTTCAGATTCTACTGTAATTAGGCTTCAGCAAGCAATACAATTAATTACTGATATAGAAATATTTACATTCTTATGAAATTCATTGTTATGGTGACATGCAAGACATTTGTTGAACAGGCAAAAAAAAATCAACAAAAGCATAAAAAATCAACACTAGAGTCACACATAAAAGCTCATAGTTAGATTGTATAAACACAATTCAACAAACTGTACCACTGAATCAAGGCCTATGTATCTACAGTATTCTGATTACTTTTCTAGACTGAGATAAGCACACACACAGCTACTTCATACTTACAGAAATCCTCTAATTTTACAACATTATTTGTTCAAGAGGGCAGCCAGCGCATGGCATTAATCAATTTCCTTTTGTTATTTTATTATACAGTGTAATTTCTAGTCTAGTCTACACACAGTTGAAATTGATTCAAAATCCCATACAAGTACTTTAACATGCTCTGCCATAGTTGCCTGCCAGAGTTAAAAGTTGAAAACCATTGAGTAAACTCACATTTCTCAGATTTCTTACTCAAAGTCACATTCAAAATCAAGCAAGATACATGAGTCTGATTGAACCCCCACCCTAATCTTGTTTGAAATCAATTATATTTAGTTTTTCATTCATAATTCATTGTTCAATGATGTGGATGAAATGTATTTTTAAGTATTTTATTTATTAAATCCCATTGTTGCTTGTAGACCATTTTTGTGTCATACAAAAGTGTTACCGTGCCTGAAGTTTAAAATGCATTCTGTCATTACTAAATTTGTAATGTGATATATTTTAACATTTCAATTTTGAATAAAAAATATTGTCTTCCTCAAATGAAGGGGATGATGATGCAATCTTTACAAGTGGGAAGGAATCTTATTTCAATGATCCTCAACTCGTGGCTCAGTCATTTCATTCAGGGTAAGTGGAGTTCACAGGAGGTTGGTGGCACCTTAATTGTGGTAATGGCTGGAGCGGAATCAGTGGAATGGTATCCACGTGTTTGATGCCATTCCATTTGCTCTGTTCCAGCCATTATTATGAACCGTCCTCCCCTCAGCAGCCTCCACTGGACTGGAGTTAGCCATGAGATGCCCCGGAGCAGATTAGTTCAGAAATGTACAGTATCAGTCAAAAGTTTGGACACACCTACTCATTCAAGGGTTTTTCATTATTTTTTACTATTTTCTACAATGTAGAATAATAGTGAACACATCAAAACTATGAAATAACACATGGAATCATGTAGTAACCACATTTTTTAAAACAAATCTAAATATATTTGAGATTTGAGATTCTTCAAATAGCCACCCTTTGCCTTGATGACAGTTTTTCACACTTTTGGCATTCTCTCAACCAGCTTCACATTTGCTGAGTACTTGTTGGCTGCTTTTCCTTCACTCTGACGTCCGACTCATCCCAAACCATCTCAATTGGGTTGAGGTCGGGGGATTGTGGAGGCCAGGTCATCTGATGCAGCACTCCATCACTCTCCTTCTTGGTAAAATAGCCCTTACACAGCCTGGAGGTGTGTTGGGTCATTGTCCTGTTAAAAAACAAATGATAGTCCCACTAAGCCCAAACCAGATGGGATGGTGTATCGCTGCAGAATGCTGTGGTAGCCATGCTGGTTAAGTGTGCCTTGAATTCTAAATGATAATATATCATAATATCATAAGGTGAATGCACCAATTTGTAAGTCGCTCTGGATAAGATCGTCTGCTAAATGACGAAAATGTAAATGTAAAAATGTAAATCACAGACAGTGTCACCAGCAAAGCACCCCCACACCATAACACCTCCTCCTCCGTGCTTTAAGGTGGGAAATACACATGCGGAGATCATCCGTTCACCCACACCGCGTCTCACAAAGACACGGCAGTTGGAACCAAAAATCTCCAATTTGGACTCCAGACCAAAGGACACATTTCTACCGGTCTAATGTCCATTTTCATGGTATCCAATTGGTAGTTACAGTCTTGTCCCATCACTGCAACTCCCGTACAGACTCGGGAGAGGCGAAGGTCGAGAGCTGTGCGTCCTCCGAAACACAACCCAGCCGAGCCGCACTGCTTCTTGACACAATGCCCGCTTAACCCGGAAGCCAGCCACACCAATGTGTCGGAGGAAACACCATACACCTGGCAACCGTGTCAGCGTGCACTGCGCCCGGCCCGCCACAGGAGTCGCTAATGCGCAAGAATACCCCTGCCGGCCAAACCCTCCCCTAACCTGGACGACGCTGGGACAATTGTGCGCTGCCCCATGGGTCTCCCGGCTGCGACAGAGCCTGGACTCGAACCAGGATCTCTAGAAGAGACCACTGCGCCACTTGGGAGCCCATTGCTCGTGTTTCTTGGCCCAAGCAGGTCTCTTCTTCTTATTGGTGTCCTTTAGTAGTGGTTTCTTTGCAGGAATTCGACCATGAAGGCCTGATTCACACGGTCCTCTCTGAACAGTTGATGTTGAGATGTGTCTGTTACTTGAACTCTGTGAAGCATTTATTTGGGCTGCAATTTCTGAGGCTGGTAACTCTAATGAACTTATCCACTGCAGCAGAGGTAACTCTGGGTTTTCCATTCCTGTGGCGGTCCTCATGAGAGCCAGTTTCATCATAGCGCTTGATGGTTTTTGCGACTGCACTTAAAGAAACTTTCAACGTTCTTGAAATGTTCCATATTGACTGACCTTCATGTCTTAAGGTAATGATGGACTGTCGTTTCTCTTTGCTTATTTGAGCTGTTCTTGCCATAATATGGACTTGGTCTTTTACCAAATAGGGCTATCTTCTGTAAACCCCCCCTACCTTGTCACAACACAGCTTATTGGCTCAAACAAATTAAGAAGGAAAGAAATTCCACAAATTAACTTTTAATTAGCGGGGCGGCAGGTAGCTTAGTGGTTAAGAGCGTTGTGCCAGTAACCGAAAGGTCGCTGGTTGTAATCCCCGAGCCGACTAGGTGAAAAATCTGTCGATGTGCCCTTGAGCAAGGCACTTAACCCTAATTGCTCCTGTAAGTCGCTCTGGATAAGAGTGTCTGCTAAATGACCAATGTATTTATAAGAAGGCACACCTGTTAATTGAAATACATTCCAGGTGACTACCTCATGAAGCTGGTTGAGAGAATGCCAAGAGTGTGAAAAGCTGTCATCAAGGCAAAGGGTGGCTATTTGAAGAATCTCAAATATAAAATATATTTTGATTTGTTTAACACTTTTTTGGTTACTACATGATTCCATATGTGTTATTTATTAGTTTTGATGTCTTCACTATTATTCTACAATGTAGAAAATAGTAAAAAAAAAAAAAAAAAAGGGTGAGACACTTTCGTATGACCGGTTATCCCGAATTGAACTCAGAGTTGATCAAATTTACCTCGGTAACTCCTCAAACCTTCTTCGTAGGATACCCCCCTGGATCAGGGTTGCCTACCACTGTTGTAGGCAGTGGCATCATTGGAACATTGTTTGGCTGGTTGACTTCTGTGTTGTTGTTTGTTATGAAATGATAATGTCCATGTCTTTTCCTCCACCTACAGTAGAGAACAACTATCAGGACAAAAGTGACTAGGATAACTACTGGAATCCACCAAATCATAATTGTGGAGTAACCTGAAGAGGAGGAGATAGAAAGAGAACAGGAGAGTTTAGACATGATTCAGACCAATTCTGTTTATAATTAGATTCAGGCTAGCTCGTGACCTAGGATTCCTGTTTCGTAATTCATCTCTCTGGGATTGAATGTGATTCATTCATTCATCTTACTGAAAGAATGTTTGGCGTTTGCAAAGATGATGTATATATGAAGTATGTCTTATGACAACATGAATCACTACATCAGGGTCAGCTACGTTTCTACCATAACATGACCCACAGTCGGTCACTTATAATACCTTTCATAGGGATTACTGTTGTAGTTCTAGTGGCCGTCCCAACTCTATTCGTGGCAGTGCAGATGTAGATCCCAGCGTTGGTAGACGTGGCTCTGGTGATTCTAACAGTCCTCTGGCGCCCCTCATTGGACACCATCACATTGCCTGCAGCGAAGGTCCAATTTATCTCAGGAGGAGGGTTCCCCTCAGCACTGCAGTTCAGAGACACATCACTGTCTCCGCTCAAAATCACTGTGTCATTCCCTAGAAGGAACTCAGGAGCATCTAAGGAGAACGGGGGTGCTTTTAGAGTAGGCCACTCAAAACCATGCAACTTATGGGATTTCAGATAGGGTGCCATGCAGTTCAGTTGAGACTAAAATACTAAAGGTTATAAACAATTATGTAAAACCTTGCTCAATCACTATTAGGCCTATTCTACCTTTAAGATTGGTTCAAACAGTGTAAAGCTGATAGAATGTGTGTCTAGAATGAGTTAAACGTTTGTAAAATAGTCCAATAATAACATACTTGAAAGATAGAAACATTACTTACACAAGACGTCAATAACAAGCGTGTGAGAGGCTTGTCCATGTTTGTTGTTTGTAACCAGGGTGTACTCCCCTCTGTTTTCCCTAGTCAGACTTTGAGGGATATCCACTTTCTGTTGGGCTTTATACCAGGTGATTTTAGAAGATGGGTTGCCATCAACTGTACAGGTGACTAAGAGGTTGTGATTTTCATTCTCTTTAAAAATATATTGATCAGGACAGGTAAACTTGGGGGCATCTGAAAAGAGTAGGGAGAGAAATATTCAGCATAGATTTTCTCAATTTGAAAACAGATGGAGATAGAAAAGCATCTTACAGGAAACAATCTGATAGATCTCATCTCGCAATACAATACTAGATCTCACACACTTACATTCCACTGTGATGTGAACAGTAGAGTTGGTGCTGCCTATGTCATTGGTGATCGTGATGACATACTGGCCTGAGTCCGACCTGGCCAGGGGTGCAGAGGCATTGACCTGTCTGCCCTCTTGGTACCACACAGCGTTAGGGGGAGGATTCCCATTGACAGTATAAAGGATCATGTCCAGGGTGGAACTCTCATTCACATGACTGTGCAGGTTTAGACGTTCAATCACTGGCTTGTCTGCAAATGGAGAGAAAGCGAGAAGGAGTATCAACTCGAAATGAGTCAACTGGAAGCTAAACCTGTCATGTGGTGCTGTTTTTGATTTATGATCATGATAAAGATCAAGATTAATAGCCAACTCACAGTGCACAGTAATGTTGAGAGGTTCTGATGTCACTGAAGGATGGGGTTGTGGTCCCTCTGGTCCCAGGTCCAGTTCTGCTCCACATCTATACTGAGCTCCATCATCATCTCTACTGGGGGTGATCATCAGAGTAGCTGACACATTCACTGGTGTCTTACTGATGTTACTGGGGGTGATCATCAGAGGAGCTGACACATTCACTGGTGTCTTAATGATGTTACTGTAAGTTACATTATCTACGGGTTCATTCCCTTTGTACCACTTCACAACCAGGTTCTGTAGAGGAGCGATGTTCTGCATGTCACACTGCAGCTGGTACACTGTCCCCTCCACCATGGGTCCAGAGTGGCTCAGAGGAGAGATGGAGATGCTGTCTGGAGTCTCTGTAGAGGAGGTCAACAAGGTAAAACACCCTCAATGCTGATATACAGTTAAATATAACTTTCACATTCACAAGGAGGAAAATACTCACTGTAAAGAATGACTGGAAGCACTTCTATGGGTTGGTCGCTGTTAGTGAGGGTCATGTAGCATTTAGGTTCTATTGTCCAATCAGTAAGATGATCCACAGTCCAGGTGACAATGTTAACATCTTGTTCAAAACCTGTACCTCCGTATGTGGCCTCCCAGCCCATCCCCTCGTGGACTGTGGATGATGTGGTGCAGTTGACAGAGACTGAGTCTCCATATCTCACCACCACTCTGGGAGGGTTGAGCTCAAGAGGAGAGGTAACTACTGTAAAAACATACAAGAATGAAGACATTAATGTCAAATCCACATCAAATATAAACTGTTCTGCCTTGTGAGGTAAGTGAGGGTGAATTAAATAATGTGAGCGCAGAGATGAGCTGGTAAATACCTTTTGGCTTGGCTGCTGCTGGGAGGGTGGTCGTAGCTCCTGGAGTTGTGGGTAATGTGGGGAACATCGTTGGCTGTTGTTGTGGAGGTACTTCTACAAGGACATGCATTTGCTTGGTGATGGAGCCCAGTCTATTTGTGACTGTGCAGTTGTAAGTTGCATTAGCTGTTACTCTGGAGATAGAGAGAGTACGCAGGGGCCCTACAGTGGTCTCATTGGCATTTCCCTCTGCAGTGTTGTTGGTCCACTTCAGCTCAGGAGGAGGGTTCCCCTCAGCACTGCAGTCCAGAGACACATCACTACCTGCACTCACCACCACTGTGTCATTCCCTGGAAGGAACTTAGGAGCGTCTGAGGAGAAAAGGAGGGGCTTTTAGACAGTTTAAACGTATACAGTTGTAGAATTTCCCTCCTGGTCAGGGGTACAGAGGCAAGATCGAGTATTGATAAACTCACAGTGCACAGTAATGTTGAGAGGTTCTGATGTCACTGTAGGATGGGGTTGTGGTCCCTCTGGTCCCAGGTCCAGTTCTGCTCCACATCTATACTGAGCTCCATCATCATCTCTACTGGGGGTGATCATCAGAGTAGCTGACACATTCACTGGTGTCTTAATGATGTTACTGTAAGTTACATTACCTACGGGTTCATTCCCTTTGTACCACTTCACAACCAGGTTCTGTAGAGGAGCGATGTTCTGTATGTCACACTGCAGCTGGTACTCTGTCCCCTCCACCATGGGACCAGAGTGGCTCAGAACAGAGATGGAGACGCTGTCTGGAGTCTCTGTGATAGAAAAACCTTTCTCAATAATTGTTTTCCACACTTTTTAAAAAATCCTGTACACTTCCTGCTTATATGTGTTAATTGTATAGTGAGTGGACTTCAATAGTCCAGTCACTATATTTCATACTTGCTAAACGGTGACGTTTTCCTAATGAATCTACTCATATTCAATGGGACACACTTACTGTACACAGTGAGAGTAAGGTCTTGACTGCATTGGAGACTCCCATTCAACTTTATGTTGCACTGAGCCTGTGTACCCCAGTCCACCCCAGCCACGTTCCAGGTGACAAACTGTCTATCTTCCTCCAAGCTTGTTTTTCCCTCTGTAGAAACCCAGTGCATCCCCAGGTGGGTGTTGAACAACGTGCTGCAGTTGACCTCCAGTGGATCCCCGTGTCTCACCACCACCACAGGAGGCTCCAGAGTCAGAGGGTTGATGTCAGGAGGACAGGCTCCATCTGCAGCTGGTGATGCAGTCAGAGTGGGTGGTGTCTTTAGTCTAATTTCACAATTACCTTTCCTAGAAACTGCAGTACGGGTGAACTCTGAGCCACATTACATAAAATGGCTGATCATTGGCTGCCCAGACATTTAAAGTTCTTGTGAAAATATTACATTATGTTGTTGATGATCTCATCCCTACTAAAACACGTTGAAAGGGGAATCACCTTGCCCAAAATATTCAGACGCATTTCCTATTGTGCAGGTAGAGTATATAATGGAACAACAATTGCTTAAAAGGGCACTGAAAAGCACATAGTCCATCCCTGTGTTACAAAATGAAAGTCAAAGGATTCTTATTTTTGACACCTGAGTGACAATGTTGGATCTGTCAAATATGGAGCTTCCATAGGTTAGCACATACTAGCCAAACTACCATACTAACAATCAAGCACCACACCCACCATCAGTGGTTTTCACCAGTCATATATGTTGCCATCAATGTTACACCACATGGAAATTCACACGCACCGCACCCATTTAGACACTCAATTACATCAACAGTGTCTGTGTTGTACCTAAGTGAGTGTAAGTGTATTTCTTGTGATTTGATGTTATTATATAATTGTATCCTTTAATTAGGGTCCTGAGTTGTTCCTATCCATGTGACCTGACCAGAAAAAACTCAGAGCCCTGTCTACTGATGACTGTTACAGTATTGCATTATTGCAACATACAGTGAGGAAAAAAGTATTTAGTCAGCCACCAATTGTGCAAGTTCTCCCACTTAAAAAGATGAGAGAGGCCTGTGATTTTCATCATAGATACACGTCAACTATGACAGACAAAATGAGGGAAAAAAATCCAGAAAATCACATTGTAGGATTTTTTATGAATTTATTTGCAAATTATGGTGGAAAATAAGTATTTGGTCAATAACAAAAGTTTCGCAATATTTTGTTATATATCCTTTGTTGGCAATGACACAGGTCAAACGTTTTCTGTAAGTCTTCACAAGGTTTTCACACACTGTTGCTGGTATTTTGGCCCATTTCTCCATGCAGATCTCCTCTAGAGCAGTGATGTTTTGGGGCTGTCGCTGGGCAACACAGACTTTCAACTCCCTCCAAAGATTTTCTATGGGGTTGAGATCTGGAGACTGGCTAGGCCACTCCAGGACCTTGAAATGCTTCTTACGAAGCCACTCCTTCGTTGCCCGGGCGGTGTGTTTGGGATCATTGTCATGCTGAAAGACCCAGCCACGTTTCATCTTCAATGCCCTTGCTGATGGAAGGAGGTTTTCACTCAAAATCTCACGATACATGGCCCCATTCATTCTTTCCTTTACACGGATCAGTCGTCCTGGTCCCTTTGCAGAAAAACAGCCCCAAAGCATGATGTTTCCACCCCCATGCTTCACAGTAGGTAATGTTTTCTTTGGATGCAACTCAGCATTCTTTGTCCTCCAAACACGACGAGTTGAGTTTTTACCAAAAAGTTATATTTGGGTTTCATCTGACCATATGACATTCTCCCAATCCTCTTCTGGATCATCCAAATGCACTCTAGCAAACTTCAGACAGGCCTGGAAATGTACTGGCTTAAGCAGGGGGACACGTCTGGCACTGCAGGATTTGAGTCCCTGGCGGCGTAGTGTATTACTGATGGTAGGCTTTGTTACTTTGGTCCCAGCTCTCTGCAGGTCATTCACTAGGTCCCCCGTGTTGTTCTGGGATTTTTGCTCACCATTCTTGTGATCATTTTGACCCCACGGGGTGAGATCTTGCGTGGAGCCCCAGATCGAGGGAGATTATCAGTGGTCTTGTATGTCTTCCATTTCCTAATAATTGCTCCCACAGTTGATTTCTTCAAACCAAGCTGCTTACCTATTGCAGATTCAGTCTTCCCAGCCTGGTGCAGGTCTACAATTTTGTTTCTGGTGTCCTTTGACAGCTCTTTGGTCTTGGCCATAGTGGAGTTTGGAGTGTGACTGTTTGAGGTTGTGGACAGGTGTCTTTTATACTGATAACAAGTTCAAACAGGTGCCATTAATACAGGTAACGAGTGGAGGACAGAGGAGCCTCTTAAAGAAGAAGTTACAGGTCTGTGAGAGCCAGAAATCTTGCTTGTTTGTAGGTGACCAAATACTTATTTTCCACCATAATTTGCAAATAAATTCATTAAAAATCCTACAATGTGATTTTCTGGATTTTTTTCCCTCAATTTGTCTGTCATAGTTGACGTGTACCTATGATGAAAATTACAGGCCTCTCTCATCTTTTTAAGTGGGAGAACTTGCACAATTGGTGGCTGACTAAATACTTTTTTTCCCCACTGTATCAATATTCATTTTTTATTGCTCATTCAATACTTTAATTTCTTGACTTTAATTTCTCTCAAATATTAGTCTTCAAATTGACCATTGTGGGGTTAAAACGAATTTCCTTTGCCAACAATCAACTTCCGTTCAACTTCGATTAGTGGGAGGTGAGCACATGTTTGAGTACCATCCTGGGAGACAGCAAACTGTTACCATATCACCAGAGTAGATAATAACTATGTGAACTATGTGATAAACTACGATCAACATAAACATCATAATCCACACAGCGATCACAACAATAGATATTAATAGATAAGTATGGAACAAATTAACCACTCACCTCCATGTAACAATATGAGCATGAGGAGGCCCAACATCCTCTGGGGTGACAGCATGGTAGTTCTCTGGCACTCCATGCTGAGCACGGTGAGGGTGATGGGGGATGTTGTAAGAGAGGATGCCCTGACTGACCGTTGGTCCAGGCTCGGTCCTAACGCTGTGCTAGTGCCAGTTAGTGTATCTCAGGCAGAGAGCAAGACCTTGCTGTGTGAAGGGAGTGTTTCAAAGAGGAAATTCAAACCCTGCCCTGATGCTGTGCAGAGAGAGGAAACTGCTAAACGGAAACATGACATCAAACCACAACGTCAGTTCTCACAAGCAAAAGAAACGGACTCCTACCTCACCTTGTGGTGTTTGTGTATGCGAGTGTATATGTGTGAGAGGACAGATAGATAATATCAAAAAGTCATGTTCAAACATTGTTTTGCAATTTTTTATTTAAAAAATACATTGCAGTTAGAAAACAATTCCACATGTTGGGTTGTCATGTCAGTCTAACACTGTCTTATTAACATATTTGTTTAACATATAAGAACTTCATTAACATCCTTCCTTATCAATGAAGGCACAATAATATTGCCCTGATGCATGATTGACATGTGTGTATAACACAGGTGTCACGACTTCCGCCGAGGCTGCCTCCCCTCCTTGTTCGGGCAGGTTTCGGCGTTCGGCATCACCGGCTTACTAGCTACTGCCGATCCATTTATCATCACTCCATTTGTCTTGTCTTCAATCACACACACCTGGTCCTTATTCCCTCATTAGTCATTGTATAAGTGTTCACTCTGCTTCCTTGTCTGTGTGGGTGACTGTTTATTGTGGAGGTTAGTGAAGCTCGGTGGAGCTCGTGTATTTTGTCTCGACGGGAGTCTTTTTCCCGTGTGCCTTGTATTTTCCAGTGTGCCTGTTTTGTGCCCTGGAGTGTGTTTGACGCATTTCTGCGTAAACCTGTATTTTGCAGATTAAAGTGTTATTCTGTGATTTAGCCTGCTGCGCCTGACTCATTCAACAACACCTCATCGCAACAGGAGGCTGCTGAGGGTAGGACGGCTCATAATAATGGCTGGAACTAAGAGAATAATGGCATCAAACACATGGAAACCATGGAAACCATGTGTTTGATGTATTTGAAACTATTCCACTCCAGCCATTACCACGAGCCCATCCTCCTCAATTAAGGTGCCACCAACCTCCTGTGGTGTATATCTAAGAGGGTTAGGTGGGTTTGATCATCAAGGTGACCGTCTTGAGGGAGTAGGAGCCCCCGTGGAACTCTGCCCAGTAAACCCCGTCCTGGTAGCGGCTGCGGTAGTGACCCCCTCGATACCACACGCCGTTTAAGTTGGAGTGGGCACACATGTGGTACCACCAGCCCCCCTTCTGGAAGTGGGCACAGTTCCCTAATGAGGAAATGGAGAGAAAAACCAACTCATCATGCCAAACCTGGGTGTTAAAACAGGCAGCCATGAAAAGAGGCAGAAAGGAAAAGAGAGAGGGTAGTAGAGGTGAGAGAGGATTCACCTGAATAAGCATCCTTATCCTTGTCCAGAGTTGTAAAGGCTTTGTTATTGTGCCAGGACATTGAGTCTCCGGCGTTGCCTTGGTATTCCCCCAGCCTCAGACGGTACCAGTCGCTCTCAGGCTCCAGACGGAAGCTGTCATACTCTGCAAACACCTGGCGGCCCTGCCAGTCCTCCATGGCCACCTGAAGCTTGTAGTGGGCCTGCTTGGTCAGCCAGTAGAGGTGCTCCAGACCCAGCCAGTAATCTCCATCCAGGTTCCCAAAGTCTTGCTGGGGTGGAGGGGTACAACAGATAGTTTAGGGTTATGTTCACTGTAGCAATAGTTTTCATGACTTCTGTGATGTTAAACCGTCCTCAACTGAAGGATACTCTTGAGTCTCTGACCTGTAATACCAGCTGTTCTTCTGGTTTTATAGCCCATTGTGATGATTGCCAATTACAGTAACTATACAGCTCATGTTTCATCACATATAATCAGCTGAAATGAAAGGTAAATGGAGGATTATATGGAGGGAAAGGATTATGGGTCTGCAGTGCACACACTCACGGTGTGGGTTTTTGGTATTGCAGTGTTTTGGAGCACAACAATGGTAACTGCACACTGTCTGATGTCATAACAAGCTCTTGAGAGCTTCGCTTTTAGTGGATCACTGCCACTGGAGGTGAGAGCACCTTGTACTGCTCCCAGGTCCTGAAGAAGTTGACTGATCCATCCTGTCTCTTCTGGATGACGGTCCAGCCTCCCTGGGCCTTGGTCTGTTCACACCAGGCCTGCAGAAGCCGGTTGGTGCTCTGTGGATGCAGCAGGTAGATCCCATTGGTGGTCTCGCCCGAGTCCAGCACATGCTGGCAGTATCTCCAGGGTCTTGAGGGACAGAGATAGTATAGGTATGTGATTCACAAAGGCAGTTAGGATTTAGGAACAGACCTGGGTTCAAATAGTAATAATTGTGCTCGATTGAGCCTGCCTGGTACAAAGGAACCAATGGGTGCAATGGAACCAATGGAAGTCCAGAACGTCCCAACTCCGCCCACCTGCCACCAGGCAGGCTCAACCAAATGCTTGAAATGAGGGAGTGATGTGAGTGAAACACGTAATGGAGAGAGGGGTCTGGAATTCTGTTTGTTTTAGAGTCAACAGGGTCACAGATACATGTTTTTTCGCTTTGCTTCAGCTTATCTCTTTACTGCCGAAGACATTCTTTCACAACACATGTTGAATGTCTCATGTCACACTGGAAAAGATAAGCATACACTGCATGAACGGACACAGAAAGGCTAAGCATCACCTCTCTCTCACACACTTCAGACCAAGGGTCATCCATACTGTAACTGTACACTCATTCTATAGACGAGTATCTCCTCATCACACACATAGATAAGCTCTGAGTCATGGTCCCTTTATTATACACTCTAACTGGTGTGAAGTCCCCCTGTTACTGCTGCTGCTCAGCTCCACTGTGGGAGGACCCTGTCCATCAAGGTGGTCACACTCATCTAAATGGTCTGCCTTGTAATCTCACACATTCCAGTTGCACACACAAAGTGCATTGTAGGAGGGTATCGCCTTGTAATTCAAGGTTACATTGCAATGTCCTAAAGAGGGCTGTGATTAGGGTGTGTGTTTGTTAGGGTGTGTGTGTGTGTGTGTGTGTGTGTGTGTGTGTGTGTGTGTGTGTGTGTGTGTGTGTGTGTGTGTGTGTGTGTGTGTGTGTGTGTGTGTGTGTGTGTGTGTGTTTGCTGTGTGTACTGCTGGTAAATTAGATTTTTTTAGATTCAATTATCTTTTTATTTGGAATTCATCCTAATCGCTCTTTCTAAAGAGGAGGTGCTGACAAATCTGATTATTGGTGCCAAATTCTGGATTAGGTACTTTGATGGTTTATTTCCTAAAAAAGAGGATTATATTTTGGCCCATTTGATTGTTATTTATAACAAATATTATTGATGACTTTGCAAATGTTATATCAAAGTCAAACTTTGTGTGTGTGTGTCACGCCCTGGCTCTGGGGACTCTTAAATGTTGAGCCTGGGTGTGGATTTTCCTATGTTTAGTTGTTCTATGTTTTCATTCTAGATCGTTTAGATCTATGTTGGCCAGGGTGGTTCCCAATCAGAGGCAGCTGTGGCTCGTTGTCTCTGATTGGGAACCATACTTAGGCAGCCTGTTTTCACTAGTCATTGTGGGATCTTGTTCTGTATAGGTTTGTGTTGGTGAACATTTAGACTTCACGTATCGTTTTGTTGTTGGTGTCAAGTACTCATTAAAAGATGTACGCCTATCACGCTGCGCCTTGGTCTGCCTCTTACAACGATCGTGACAGTGTGTGTGTGTGCATGCGTGTGTGTATTCCTCATTAACAAAGCCCCTACTCTTCTCAGATGAGAACAGCTGGCAGTTATTCGACATTGTTTAGGCCTATCAGCAGGTCAGTGACTCCCCGAGCTTCTGCACAGTGTCTTCTGGAGAGTAAATAACACTGACAAAATACTGACATTGTTTCATACACAAACTCAAGGTCCGAACCGCAAACAATTAAGCATTTGAAGGGCCGAAAGAAAACAGCTTGCTTGTTGTGATTGTTGTCAGAGGTGACAATGAAAAACAATATCAAAACTAAACAGGAACCAATGAGATGTGCAATGTATTGACTGAAATAGAAACAAAGTGTTATAATGTGTGATAACGTTGCGGGGTGAAGATTGATACACAGTGTTGCTCTTTCACCCACTGCCTTACAAAAACAGTCCTCCATTCCTACACAGACAGTGATGGTTAAGCTGTAAGATCCGAGGGTGCAGTGATTTACCTGGGGTCTTAGCGACAGGGAAGGTTATGAAGTGGGCATCAGTAGGAGTGTCGGCCATGGTGGTGGGGAGCACCTTTATCCCCTGGAGGGGTTCTCGCTCCTCCTGTCTGCTAAATGACGTAAATGTAAATGTAAATGTGGCTGTAGTGGAGGACCACCCTGGTCTCGCTGAACATCATTAGCCATCTCCTTGGACTCTGAGCTGTCATTTAGCGGCCCACTGGACTGGATACTCCGGGGTTCAGAGGTCATCTGTCCAATACAACACAAACATATAAAGACTTTTGTACAGAGCATTATGGGTACTGTAGTATGTTATGGTACAACTTTAGCTTAAGACTGGTCTTAATGTGAATCTGAGAAAGGCCCATGATAACAATACCAGTGGTTTGATAAATACAGAGCTTCCCTACCTGTGGAGGTGGGGTAGTGTTCTTGGTGGCCTGGCACTGCTTCTCCAGCCGGGTGATGAGCTGACTCTGGTTGCTCATCATGGAGGTGAGGGCTCCATACTTCTTCTCCAGATCCCTGTAACTAGTGGACATCTGCAGCATCTGGGATGTTGGTCCACCATGACCGAGCAACGGACAATGGGACAATGAGGGATGTTATAAAGGTGTTACATGCCAGTCATAGATAGGCAAAGGATGCTAAGACAGTAGAGAGATAGTAGGAGCAGGTATACAGTTATATGATTCTAACTTCCCCCTTATGAACACAGCTGTTCCCATAATGCTCTCTGTCTGATTACCTGTGTGGTGACGTTGAGCAGTAGGTTCTCGACCTGCCTCTGTTCGACCACTTGGTCCTTCTTGAACATAACCTCGTGCAGCAGCTGAGTGTAGAGCTGGGCGATGCGGGCGTTCATGCTGCCACTCTCTTTCCGTAGCGCCCATACCTCCGTAGCCAGGGCCCCCTCCTGTTCCAGCTGGCCCCTCAGCTTCTCCAGCTGTTCCTGCTGATGGCTCAACTCCTCCCGCAGAGCCGCTATCTCTGAGTGGTTGGCGGCGCCGGTGGTAGACTCGGTGCTCACACACAGCGCCCCTTTCAGTTTCTGCTGGGGAACGATGAAGGTGTAGGAGCAGTGGCCTGCTTTTTGCTCTGAGGAGTGGGACGGGTGCTTCTGGGACTCCTCCTTCCGCCCCCCCTTTCCACCTCAGACATGACTAGGAGGAGCCCCAGCAACAGAGACAGGCCAATAGTCAGCTGCTTCTCCATCAACCTGTTCAACTGCTCCTCTGTCCATGGAAATAAGCAGTGATAGAGATTCATTAGCAGATTCCCCCAATAAAACATGCTACTCTATATCTATAACATGTAGAAATGTATTAAATCAGTAAACATTTCCCCATTTGAAACAACTGTAATTGTACACCAACAAGTACATCACAGTCAGACACTCCACACAGATGCAAAAACCCATACAGGTATTTTTAGTGGAAAGCAGAGCATGTAAAAGCGCTACCGCAATATCTAAGATGCAGCTCAGACTGTCTTTCAAGCCTTGAATGCCCACCAGATGTTCCCCAGGAAGGTGAAAGTACAGTCGTGGTCAAACGTTTTGAGAATGACACAAGTATTGGTCTTCACAAAGTTTGCTGCTTCAGTGTTTTTAGATATTTTTGTCAGATGTTACTATGGTATACTGAAGTATAATTACAAGCATTCTATAAGTGTCAAAGGCTTTTATTGACAATTACATTAAGTTTATGCAAAGAGTCAATATTTGCAGTGTTGACCCTTCTTTTTCAAGACCTCTGTAATCCGCCCTGGCATGCTGTCAATTAACTTCTGGGCCACATCCTGACTGATGGCAGCCCATTCTTGCATAATCAATGCTTGGAGTTTGTCAGAATTTGTGGGGTTTTGTTTGTCCACCCGCCTCTTGAGGATTTACCACAAGTTCTCAATGGGATTAAGGTCTGGGGAGTTTCCTGGCCATGGAACCAAAATGTTGATGTTTTGTTCCCCGAGCCACTTAGTTATCACTTTTGCCTTATGGCAAGGTGCTCCATCATGCTGGAAAAGGCATTGTTCGTCACCAAACTGTTCTTGGATGGTTGGGAGAAGTTGCTCTCGGAGGATGTGTTGGTACCATTCTTTATTCATGGCTGTGTTCTTAGGCATAATTGTGAGTGAGCCCACTCCCTTGGCTGAGAAGCAACCCCACACATGAATGGTCTAAGGATGCTTTACTGTTGGCATGGCACAGGACTGATGGTAGCGCTCACCTTGTCTTCTCCGGACAAGCTTTTTTCCGGATGCCCCAAACAATCGGAAAGGGGATTCATCAGAGAAAATGACTTTACCCCAGTCCTCAGCAGTCCAATCCCTGTACCTTTTGCAGAATATCAGTCTGTCCCTGATGTTTTTCCTGGAGAGAAGTGTCTTCCTCGCTGCCCTTCTTGACACCAGGCCATCCTCCAAAAGTCTACGCCTCCAACACCATCATTAAGTTTGCCGACGACATGACGGTGGTAGGCCTGATCACCGACGACGATGAGACAGCCTATCTGGAGGAGGTCAGAGACCTGGCAATGTGGTGCCAGGACAACAACCTCTCCCTTAACGTCAGCAACACAAAGGAGCTGATCGTGGACTACAGGAAACGGAGGGCCGAGCACGCCCCCATTCAAATCGACAGGGCTGTAGTGGAGCAGGTCAAGAGCTTCAAGTTCCTCGGTGTCCACATCACTAAGGATCTATCATGGTCCAAACACACCAACACAGTCATGAAGAGGGCACGACAACACCTCTTAACCCTCAGGAGGCTGAAAAGATTTGGCATGGGCCCTTAGCTCTTCAAGACGTTCTACAGCTGCACATCGAGAGCATCTTGACTGGCTGTATCAACGTTTGGTATGGCAACTGCTTGGCATCTGACCACAAGATGCTACAGAGGGTAGTGCGTACGGCCCAGTACATCACTGGGGCAGAGCTCCCTGCCATCCAGGACCTCTATACCAGGTGGTGTCAGAGTGGTGCTACTGTTTTATCTATCCTGTTGCCTAGTCACTTGACCCCTACCTATATGTACACTACATACAGTGAGGGAAAAAAGTATTTGATCCCCTGCTGATTTTGTACGTTTTCCCACTGACAAAGACATGATCAGTCTATAATTTTAATGATAGGTTTATTTGAACAGTGAGAGACAGAATAACAACAACAAAATCCAGAAAAACGCAATTGATTTGCATTTTAATGAGGGAAATAAGTATTTGACCCCTCTGCAAAACATGACTTAGTACTTGGTGGCAAAACCCTTGTTGGCAATCACAGAGGTCAGACGTTTCTTGTAGTTGGCCACCAGGTTTGCACACATTTCAGGAGGGATTTTGTCCCACTCCTCTTTGCAGATCTTTTCCAAGTCATTAAGGTTTCGAGCCTGACGTTTGGCAACTCAAACCTTCAGCTCCCTCCACAGATTTTCTATGGGATTAAGGTCTGGAGACTGGCTAGGCCACTCCAGGACCTTAATGTGCTTCTTCTTGAGCCACTCCTTTGTTGCCTTGGCCATGTGTTTTGGGTCATTGTCATGCTGGAATACCCATCCACGACCCATTTTCAATGCCCTGGCTGAGGGAAGGAGGTTCTCACCCAAGATTTGACGGTACATGGCCCTGTTCATCGTCCCTTTGATGCGGTGAAGTTGTCCTGTCCCCTTAGCAGAAAAACACCCCCAAAGCATAATGTTTCCACCTCCATGTTTGACGGTGGGGATGGTGTTCTTGGGGTCATAGGCAGCATTCCTCCTCCTCCAAACACGGCGAGTTGAGTTGATGCCAAAGAGCTCGATTTTGGTCTCATCTGACCACAACACTTTCACCCAGTTCTCCTCTGAATCATTCAGATGTTCATTGGCAAACTTCAGATGGGCCTGTATATGTGCTTTCTTGAGCAGGGGGGCCTTGCGGGCGCTGCAGGATATCAGTCCTTCACGGCGTAGTGTGTTACCAATTGTTTTCTTGGTGACTATGGTCCCAGCTGCCTTGAGATCATTGACAAGATCCTCCCGTGTAGTTCTGGGCTGATTCCTCACCGTTCTCATGATCATTGCAACTCCACGAGGTGAGATCTTGCATGGAACCCCAGGCCGAGGGAGATTGACAGTTATTTTGTGTTTCTTCCATTTGCGAATAATCGCAGCAACTGTTGTCACCTTCTCACCAAGCTGCTTGGCGATGGTCTTGTAGCCCATTCATCCTTGTGTAGGTCTACAATCTTGTCCCTGACATCCTTGGAGAGCTCTTTGGTCTAATCTCAGCTCGTTACCTGTATAGAACTGCGCGCACGACCCACGTGGAGTTCCAGGTCTCTGGCAGCCTCTGGAACTGCCGTTCTGCGGCCAACAAGGCAGAGTTTATCTCAGCCTATGCTACCCTCCAGTCCCTCGACTTCTTGGCGCTGACGGAAACATGGATTACCACAGAAAACACTGCTACTCCTACTGCTCTTTCCTCATCTGACCATGTGTTCTCGCATACCCCGAGAGCATCTGGTCAGTGCGGCGGTGGCACAGGAATCCTCATCTCTCCCAAGTGGACATTCTCTCTTTTTCCCCTGACCCATCTGTCTTTCTCCTCATTTGAATTCCATGCTGTCACAGTCACTAGCCCATTCAAGCTTAACATCCTTGTCATTTATCGCCCTCCAGGTTCCCTTGGAGAGTTCATCAATGAGCTTGACGCCTTGATAAGTTCCTTTCCTGAGGATGGCTCACCCCTCACAGTTCTGGGTGACTTTAACCTCCCTACGTCTGCCTTTGACTCATTTCTCTCTGCCTCCTTCTTTCCACTCCTTTCCTCTTTTGACCTCACCCTCTCACCGTCCCCCCCTACTCACAAGGCAGGCAATACGCTTGACCTCATCTTTACTAGATGCTGTTCTTCTACTAATCTCACTGCCCTCCAAGTCTCCGACCACTACTTTGTATCCTTTTCTCTCTCGCTCTCCTCCAACACTACTCAGTCTGCCCCTACTCAGATGGTAATGTGCCGTTGCAACCTTCGCTCTCTCTCTCTGTTAAGATAATTTATTAACTAACTATTTCAGTGTCTCTGGGCGTCTCCCAAAAGGTTGTAAGGCTTTTGGATCAAGAAACGGACAGAGCCTCAGTGCAATAGCCAGGTCTTTATTCAGAGAATTCTGCCCAGAGAATTCTGTTATCACAATTTCAGAGTCCATCTTTTATACACACGTCATACAAAAATCCCACCCCACTTTAGGCAGGCTGTATTTTTCCACTGTACATGGGTTTAGCTCATGTTTTCCTCTGCTCTCCTGACCATCAGGTCACACACACACACACACATATTCTTATCATAGTATACTCCTTGCTCGGGCAGGCTGCATTTTTTAGTTATCGCCGTTCTCACAATATTCTGACTGCCTTATTGTACTTCTAACTAAGCTACACATATTATCAGATTATAGTCTTATGATTCTAACACTTTTCACACAGTTTCAGGGTGTAATAATTAGTCATTAATAATTAGTAATTACCAAATTCTTCTATCACTCTCCCGCTAATCTCTCCTCTTCCATCCTATCATCTCTTCCCTCTGCTAAATCCTTCTCCCTCCGATCTCCTGATTCTGCCTCCTCAACCCTCCTCTCCTCCCTTTCTGCATCTTTTGACTCTCTATGTCCCCTATCCTCCCGGCCGGCTCTGTCCTCCCCTCTTGCTCCATGGCTTGACGACTCATTGCGAGCTCACAGAAGAGGGCTCCGGGCAGCCGAGCGGAAATGGAGGAAAACTAGACTCCCTGCGGACCTGTCATCTTTTCACTCCCTCCTCTCTACATTCTCTTCCTCTGTTTCCGCTGCTAAAGCCACTTTCTACCACTCTATATTTCAAGCCTCTGCCTCTAACTCTAGGAAGCTCTTTGCCACCTTCTCCTCCCTGCTGAATCCTCCTCCTCCTCCCCCTCCCTCCTCCCTCTCTGTGGATGACTTCGTCAACCATTTGTAAAAGAAGGTTGACGACATCCGATCCTCATTTATTAAGTCCAATGACACTGCTGGTCCTGCTCACACTGCCCTACCCTATGCTTTGACTTCTTTCTCCCCTCTCTCTCCAGATGAAATCTTGCGACTTGTGACGGCCGGGCACCCAACAACCTGCCTGCTTGACCCTATCCCCTCCTCTCTTTTCCAGACCATTTCCGGAGACCTTCTCCCTTACCTCACCTCGCTCATCAACTCATCCTTGACCG